AGGTAAAGTCCTTCCTGGGGTGGATGCCCTCAGCAATATTTAGTACTTTGCTGCCTTTTGGTTCCTGTGCACAGCTGCTAAGTCAACTTAGTGTTTTCTGCATCTCTACTTGGCATTAGCTGAAAACCTCCTTCAAGTCAAGATTTAGCTATTGTCCAAGAGATGCAGTGCCGGGAACTTAGAAACAGTTGCACAGCATCTCAACTCATCTTTCCTGTACCCTGGATTTGCCTATATTCTTTAAGATCCTGTTTGAATTTCTTAGTGACTAAACCATGAATGCACATTTATATTTGGCCTGTTAAAATAAAGTGAGTTGTGTTAGTTAGCTTAGTTCTCTTTTTGAAGTAGCTTATTCTGATTAGCTTTGTCAGTGTTTCACTACTCAGCATGGAAACAAGAGGAATTCCAGTTGAAGGTAGGGAGACAAAGTCCATGATCTGTTAAATAAACAATAAAAGTATCCATTGAAACTGGGATGTTTTTTCTGTCATACTTTGTTAGGAAGGGAATAGAATCTTGAAGGAGGGATCAAATACCTACAATTCTTATTTCTCCCTTCCTTCTCTTTTTTCTTCTTTCTTTCCTTTCTTTTTCTTTTTCTCTGAGACAAAAAGTCTCACTCTGTGGCACTGGCTAGAGTGCCACAGCCTCAGCCTATCTCACAGTAACCTGATTTTTCTGGGCTGAAGCAATCCTCCTGCTTCAGCCTCCCACATAGCTGGGACTATAGGCATGTACCACCACACCCAGCTAATTTTTCTATTTTTAGCAGAGACTGGGGTCTCACTCTTGCTCAGGCTGGTCTCAAACTCTTGAGCTCAAGGGATCCTCCTGCTTTGACCTCCTAGAGTGCTAAGATTACGGGTGTCTGGCTCCATTATTTTTGAGTATAAGACGTGGAGCAGCGGCAGTGAGGAGATGTGGTGATTAAATCGATGTCTACTCTTTATTTAGGGCCTACTTCAGGGCAGATACTGTGTTGGTGCTTTATTCTAAATACTATTTTTCAGTTATACATCATAATTTTTTTTTATTAAATGATAGCTGTGTATATTAATGCAATCATTGGGTATAGTGTGGTGTTTTCACATACAATTTGAAATACTTTCATCAAACTGGTTAACATAGCCTTCATGTCATTTTCCTAGTTATTGTGTCAAGATGTTTATATTCCACTTTTAGAAAGATTCACTTGTACCCTTGTAAAATAAACCATAGAGGTGATCCCTTCAATCACCCTCCCTCCGCCCATCCACCCCCACCCCTCCCCTCCCCTCTCCCCATATTCTTAGGCTATAATTAGGTTATAGCTTTCACATGAACGATATAAATTAGTTTCATAATAGGGCTGTGTACATTGGATACTTTTTCCTCCATTCTTGAGATACTTTGCTAAGAAGAACATTTTCTAGCACCATCCATGTAAACATGAAGGAGGTAAAGTCTCCGTCTTTCTTTATGGCTGCATAGTATTCCATGGTATACATATACCACAATTTATTGACCCATTCGTGGGTCAATGGGCATTTGGGCTTCTTCCATGACCTAGCAATTATGAATTGGGCTGCAGTAAATATTCTGATACAAATATCTTTGTTGTAATGTGATTTTTGGTCTTCTGGATATATACCTAATAAAGGAATTGCAGGATCAAATGGCAGGTCTATTTTTAGTTCTCTAAGTGTTCTCCAGACGTCTTTCCAAAAGGGACGCATTAGTTTGCATTCCCACCAGCAGTGTAGAAGTGTTCCCTTTTCTCCACATCCATGCTAGCATCTCTGGTTTTGGGATTTTGTTTCAAAAGTTAAGGCTTATAGCAAGCAGACAAGTTACATCACATTCCTATTTGTGATTCCTACTCCCAAGAGATGACTGATTTCAACTTAGAAGTTTTTCTAAGCTGGGGATGGTAGCTCATGCTTGTAATCCTAGGACTTCTGTTGGAGGCCAAGGCAGATGGATCTCTTGAGCTCAGGAGTTCAAGACAAGCCTGAGTAAGAGCAAGAACCTGTCTCTACTAAAAATAGAAAAAATCAGTCAGCCATTGGGGTGGGCACCTGTAGTCCCAGCTACTGGGGAGGCTGAGGCAGGAGGATTGCTTCAGCTCAGGAAACTGAGGTTGCTGTGAGCTATGATACCATGGGATGACAGGTGAGACTGTGTCCAATAAATAAATAAATTATAAATAAACAAGTTTTTTCTGATATTTCCCTTCATGTTTGTAAGTATTATGTTTATAATAAGCTTCTTTATTTTTTTAAAAAAGAGATGTCAATTTCATACCATGGAAGATTTAACTCTCTTACAGTCTCTCTTCCATATATATATACACTTATTCATTTTCCCAGTATAGTTTTGTAATAATTATAGATTAGACCAAAAGTCTACATTGTGATTATAAATCCTATTTACAGCTGAGTTGTGTACTATGCTATGATTATATTTACTTATTTAACTTTTATTCTCTTTGACATTCATAGTTTTAAAGTAATTGCTTTCTCTTTTTCTATGAACACCTGTAACTGATTATTCTCAAATCTCCAGAAGTATATATTCACATATATTGAAAAAATTTTAATTTTTATTAGAGACATCCCAGCTGGAGTCCTTCCAGCTGTTCCTCCTCTAATTTGTACTGGCTGCCTTCTAGGTTTGCTTTACAGCTATTGCTCTGAGATTTCCCATAAACCTGCCAGGTATTACTTTCATTTCCTATAATTTTCCCTTCCAATATCTTTCTTGTCACTTTAATGGAGTTTGGGAGAATTCAGAGATAGACATGATTTGAAAACAGAAATTCCGTACTGGGCATTTTACACACAGAATTTCACCTTTATGGATAAAGAAATCATTAAAACTCTAGGACCAGGATCACAGAGATAGTAAGTAACAGCAGAGATTCAAATCCAGGTTTGTCTGGTTCCAAAGACTGATGATTTTTCATTGTGCTTCCCTCCCTGATACGATGCTTCTAGACTAGGACTTCTTTGCTTAACCCTGGATAGAAAAGCAAAAGAAAATTTTGGTGGTTGCTTTAAACAGAAAACAAATTTTTAAGTAATCATTTTTGCTTAGTTCATTTGTATTTTAGTTAATACTGTCCCCATATTTGTAGTTAGTTTTAAATTGCATAAAGTTTCTGTGTATCTGTAAGGGTACTACTCTACACTGGTTTGAGAAGCAGGAATTTTAGCCCAATCTTCTTTTGTAGGAGGCCCAAAAGATGCTGGTCACAGATCTAGCGAATTAATGCTGCAGCTGGGTTAAAACTTTATCAAACTTTTTTCCCTAGTAATTATCTTTTCTCCAACAATTTATTTCTAGTGTACAGAGGAATTAAAATTATATAGTAAATACACATAAACCCAGTAGCTACACGCTGTAATTGCCAACATCATCTATCCAACAATCCCTAATTGTACTTTTTAAAGTACTTTCTATTAAACTCTGCTTCCAAGATCTTCCCTCATTTATTTGGGCTGTTAATCCAGAGAATGGATGGAAAAACCCCAATGATAAGTTAGCAACTAGCCAAACACTTGAATACCTGTTATGTGCTGTGGACAAGATGGAGGGAATATAAAATAGCGTTTATGTACTGAAAGAATTTACACCTAGTGGAGAAAGATAATAGATAATGAACAGCTTATGAGCATATCAACTAGAATAGTATAAGGATGTGCTTTCTGATTTAATGTAGAATTATGAATTGTTGGTTACATATTGCAGAGGTTTATGCTTTTAACCCTAATATATATGTATACACACACACACACACGTGCTTATATGCAGAAAAAAATATAATCCCCATGTCATAACGTAAGAATTCAATCTGTTTTTAGGTCAGTGTTTCTTAACTCCTTTTCATGTCCAAAATTTTCCTCAAGCACAGGAGTTGAACATAATCAAAACCCAAAAGGGTATATAATGATGGCTTTCTCAGTCCCCTAGCTACCAATTTATTTTCTTTCTAGAGCAGTAGTTCTCTACCTGTGGGTTGTGACCCCTTTGGGAGTCGAATGACCCTTTCACAGGGGTCACCTAAGACCATTGGAAAAAACATTTTTGAAAAATACATATTTTTACACACATGAAGTACCAACAAAAATAATTTTATGATTGGGAGTCATACAACATGAGGAACTGTATGAAAGGGTAGTGGCATTAGGAAGGTTGAGAACCACTGTTCTAGAGCTACTTAATATATATATTAAAGTATATCCCTGTATATATAAGCATATTAAAATAAAAATGGTGGCATATACTCCTTTGTACCTGCTGTTTTGATTATTTACTTTCCTACCTCTTGAGTACTTCACTGTAGACCTGGCTTATACCATAGTGTAGATCTCTTCCATTTCCCTCTCATGCTGGCTATATTCCTATATTCACACTCAGATCATTCACACTTATTTCCTATTTGTTGTAAAGGAAGAACTGGAGATGACATGTCTTCACCCCATTCACCATCAGTATACCTGTTAAAAATTCCACCTAGAAGTTGAAGGATTAGAGCTGCCTTAAGTCATTCTTAAAGCTAGGTTTAGCTGGAAGCAATGAGGTAATGGGGAGAGCTGCAAGGTAAAGCATACTTCATCTGAAGCAGCCAACTACTTGCCTCCTGACCTATTAAATTAATGAACACTCACATTGCAACCTCTATTACATGTATATGAAAATTCCCACCAAAGACAGAGGATGGTATGGCTTTAACAGATTTAAGCCCATATTTCACTCATTTTCATTTTGCTTTACTATGAGTCATGTAGAGTCCAAATAAAGCAAGTAGTTCCCTGATACATAATCAATTCATCCATTAAACAAACTTTAATTGCCTTTTGGCCCTCAGAGTTACTGGGCCTTGGTCATTTTCCTTGAATCTCTTAAGTCAAAAAGGAAATAATGATAAACTCAAATTTTTATTAATAACCTTGGAACAAATACATTAATAATAATTCCTTAAAGTTATATAGCATTTTACAATTTTAAAAGAATTTTCACTTATACCAATTAAATCCTCACAACATCCCTGTGAGGTAGGCAGGGTAGGTTTTATTTTCCTTTTATTAGTGAGGAGAACAAGGCTAAGAGGTAAGTATGGTCACACAGGTGGTAAATGATGAAGCCAGGACTAGAAAATAGGCCTTCTGACATGCTGCTTCCCTGAGAACATTCAAGTAACAATACCCTATTCATATATGGACATTTTCCTCCTGTGATGTTGGTTAGATCTGTTTTTTCACAATTGACATTGCCTTTTCTTAATATCCCAAACACTCAAACTGCGATGAGACATTTCTTGCCTGTTACTGGACTATTTCTCAGATGTATCAAAGACTATCCTAAGATGAAACTTCCCTGGCTACAAATTCTAAATTATTATGTGAACATTTATTTTAGAAAATTATGCAAAAGTATATTGAGCTTAAATAGCAACAAAACAGGTCTTTACACTCTCAAAAGGTTTGCGGTCTTTCCCAATAAGATTTTTTAGACATGCATAAATGGAAAATAGGGAAATACGTTTGGCAACATTATCACATTACTGAGAAAGCTATGTAGAATATACCTATATGCAATCACATCACACTAATTTGTTTCCTTTTGTTGGCCTTCAAGAGGATGGAGAACCATTAATGTTTACTTTTAGGTTTGATCTCCATCTTACGTGTGACATCTCAGCAACAAGCTAGAAAGAATAACCTGAATTATCCATTAGGAGGGTCCAAGAAGTGGTGATTAAAACATAGGCGTGCAGTAGACAGGGAAGAAAAAACTTGGCTTTTCAGTGGTTTTGCCGAGGTCCAGTGTAAATATTTATCAAAACAGATTTTATGCTTTAGTATCTATTAAATTTAGAAATGTGAAATATGGTAGAGTTATCAACTGGGAATACAAGACTGAAACTGAATGTAGCTGATCTAAACCTACCTATCCAAAAGCACCTAAAGCTCAACAGGTAGAAAAGGCAAGGGATAAAACTCAACTGGTCTGGTATGAAGTGGAAAAAAGCAAAAGCAAACTCTCAGGTTAAAGTAAACCACAGGCATATAAAGCACATTTAAAAAATATAAAAATGAGGCTCAGCACCTGTAGCTCAGCAGCTAGGGAGCCGACCACATATATCAGGGCTGGCGGGTTTGAACCTTGTCTGGGCCTGCCAAACAACAATGACAACTGCAACAACAATAAAAACAGCCAGGCGTTGTGGCGGGCACCTGTAGTCACAGCTACTTGGGAGGCTGAGGCAAAAGAATTGCTTAAGCCCAAGAGTTTGAGGTTGCTGTGAGCTGTGATGACATGACACTCTTCCAAGGGTGACATAGTCACAAAAACAAACAAACAAACAAAATATATATATAAATGAAATTGAGTTGCATTATCAGGAATGACATTTTTAAAATTCCAGTTATGGCCTTTTAAATTTAAGAGCAATGGGGAGAAACTTAAGCTTATGGGGGAGAGCAGAAAATGACTGGGATCTAGAAAAGGAGGTGGGAAGTTAGGGAAGACCAGTGACCAATTTAAATACATTAAAAATGGATTTAGAATTCCTCTAAATCCATCCTTTTCAAAAAATGTTTACTAAGGGGAGAGATTGGTCAAAAGCTAGTGACATGAAATGTGACTATCTTACCTAAAATATTTAAAAGGAGCTTATAAATTATGTTTTTAAAGATCAGTCCACTGATCAGGCTGTAGAACCAAATGTTAAGTGCTGCTGTCAGTGATACATGGCAGAAACCTGCATCAAAAAATAGAATTGTCATAGTAGGACTCAACATTAATGAAACAAGTACTTAACCTTTTCTAATTTAAGCCTAATAAACATTTGTGCTTTTACTAAAAAGAAATCTAACAGTTTTAACTAATGTGAAAAATATGCAGCTACGTTTATTTTTTTAAGATAAAACTTGAGGTTTATAATGTTCTAGTTCAGTAGCCTGGGCTCAAAACCAACTATACTGTTGAAATGCAGCTAAACTATATCCTTACAGAGTGTCACTGTTGTCATCATCTTCATGTTTTCTCTTCAGTGGGTTTGACTCATTGGCCATGTTCTGTGATGAAACCATGTTGGTAGTAATAAGAATATTTTTGGGCCCAATCATTGAAGGATTAATCAGAACATTTTGTACTGCAGTTGTTGCAGGAACTGTAAACAGACAAGAAAGCCCCCACAAACTGAATTATCCAGAATCTAAACATGGGGAAAAGTATACAACAAAGCTAAATATAATTTTAAAACCAATTTCAATAGCATGAAGTACAACTAAATTGTAGAAGAAATTACTCCTACTGCATTAGGAATAGAAGTAATTAAAAAAAACTTTATTATTTCATTTATTTACTTTTATTTATTTATTTATTTATTCATTGTTTTTGCAGTTTTTGGCTGGGGCTGGGTTTGAACCTGCCACCTCTGGCATATGGGACCAGCGCCCTATCTTTTGAGCCACAGGCACCCCCCTCATTTATTTACTTTTAATTGAAAAATAATTGTGTATACTTATGGTGAACAATGTATTTTGATTAATGTATACATAAAGATTAAATCAAATTAAACATTACCTAGTATAAGGTTAAAGAAGCTGTATCATAATTTACTTTAATTACCTAAAATTTCAATTAGTACTTAGTCATGGGAAACAATGAACTGGATTCAGCAAGCAACATACTAAAGGCACATGTTAAAGGTCAAGAATCATGCTTTTCTTATGAGTCAATATTTTATATAAGTCTGTGGTTAGGTTTCAGAATATATATAAGCTAAACATATTAATTAGCAAACTATGCCATAACAGAATTCTTGTATTATTCCAACACATTTATATCATCTCCTATTAAGTTGAGTAAAGGTACAATTTTCACTTGAATTTACATTTTGGAATGCATACATATATTCGTCACTAAGTTGTATCAATTTCTTGAGCTTTTACCCTAAGTATTTTTCTCTGAAGATGCCCTAGATTTGTGGACCACAACTGTTTAGTTCACTGTGTTCTTTGAAAATTTGACAAGAATGTTGAAAGCTCTCCCCTCCTAAAATGTTACATATGCTGTCGTTCCCCCTTATCTGTGGTTTTGCTTTCCACAATTTCAGTTACCAGTCAACCATGTTTCAAAAATAGGTGAATACAGAAGAAGGTATTTTGAGAGACAGCATTCATATTAATTTCATTATATATTGTTATAATTGTTCTATCTGATTATTAGTTGTTAATAATCTCATACTTTGCCTAATTTATAAACTAAACTTTATCATAGATATGTATGTATAGGAAAAAATGCGGTATATATAGTGTTTGATACTAATCGCAGTTTTAGGCATCTACTACACGAGTCTTGGAATATATATATATTACCTGCAGATAAGGGGAGACTTATCATACTGTATGTAAAATTATATTCAATTTTTGATGGCTTATAAATAGACCCCTCTGAAGAACCCTGATTTGCAGCATTATTTTTTACCTTCCTTTTGTGATATGAGGACAATCTAACTTTTGCCATAGGAACACAAACTGTTCTACAATTGGAAATTATTTATAAATTCTGTTTCCCCTCCCCAAATCACATTACCTGGTTTGACAGGTGCAGTCTGAGAAGGTGGAATCTGCATGGTAAATCTTTGGCTTGCCACTGACACTGGAGTTGCAACTTTATTGGGGATAGATACTGTTTGTGGGGTTGCTGTAGTTATAATTAACAGACCATATTAGTTAGATAAAGATTTCTATTCTGCATTCCTTAGATTACCAGAAACTACCTTCAAAGCACAAGGAACTAATTAAAGATGAGAAAAAAATCACTAGAAATAAGAGCAAAGTAACTTAAAAAGCTTATAAGCTTGTTTAGATGCTACAACATTCTGTGTAGTGTTCTGGTAAAGAATGTGGGCTGTGTAGCCTACCTGCTTAACTTTGAATCTAGGCCCTATCATCTATCTACTGGCTGAATGCCATTTTGCAAGTTATTTAAATTTTTTGTATCTCAGTTTTTCCCATCTGTTACATGAGGATCATAGTACCTATTTCATACAATTCTTGTGAGTATTAAATAATCCATGTAAAGCTCTTCAAATAGCATCTGTTACATAGTTAACACTGAATTTTAGCTAGAAGACGA